TGCACTCTGTGTGCGTGATTTGGTGATATAGCCTACTTGATAATGTCAGATCGCACATCATTACTTACAACAACACTTACCATGTTATCGCAGACGATATACTGTATCGCACACCCCAGACTCGACTTGAGTGAAAATGAATCATCCGCGGTTGTGCACGCACTTGTTTGCACAAACCTGCTTTCCTGCAGTCCGTGTTCTTCTGACTTCTGACCATTTTGTAGTAAGTAACGAATATGCTTCGGGGAAATATATCGGAGTAAAAGTATACATTTTAATTAGGAAATGTAGTGGAGTAAAAGTAAAAGTTGGCTGAAATATAAAAACTCAAGTAAAGTACAGATACTCCCAATATATGCTTAAGTACTGTAACGAAGTATTATTACTTCGTTACATTACACCACTGCTACTGCAAATGACTACTGACTAATCTTAACCTTACCTCTAAATTAAAACGCTTAATTTTTAGAAAATAAATACATAACTATATCAATATATAATTTTCATTAAATTCATAGTTTTAGTTAACCATTTATTTTTTATTTATTTATGTGTTGTTTCTAAAATAAAAACTTTATGGTAACACTTTCTATGAAGCCCATATTTACAATACATAAGGGTACATATAAGGGTATTCTTAAGGCATTATAATGAATACATAATGTATTATAAAAAAAACTTATAATGTGTTATATCATCTTATAAATAATCATAACAATAATTATAATACATTATAATGCTTACGCATTTGTGGTTATAACATTTAAGAGTATGATTATTTATAACACACAACACCATATTAAATCTACTTTTACATTTATAATGGACTATATATCTTGACATTGTTTATTTAAGATCTGCACAGTATCTTACTGCATCTTGTAAGTGGTTAGGTGTGGAGTGTTATTTGAGTGTTCCCTGTGAGGCTAATATTCATTTTGATGTGAGCTAGTAAAATATTTCAACTTAAAAAAATGCAATGTTTATATGTTAGGTTACATTTTATTTTGATGGTCCCCTTAGTCTATTGACTATAAGCAACTTTGCAACTACGTCAACTAACTCTCAGAGTATTAGTAGGCTTAGGTTAAGGTTAGGGTAGGTAGAATGTTGACGTACTTGCAAAGTTACTTATAGTGAGTTTGTCTGTTGGGGACAGCTGTCTAAAGGGTACCATCAAAAGAATCAAACTGATATTACAATAAAAAGAGTTCAAAGCAAATGTGTCATATTACACATTCATCTGATCTGATATCTGATCTTATGGCTGTTTGAGAAAAAAAATATTACTATTATTATTACTATACTTATAAGTGGTCTTTGATTGCTTTAAGTAGCATAAGAAAAATGGCAAGATATGAGACTTATAATACATTATAACTATGAGAAATATAATCCACTGTAACTTAAGTGGGTACAACGTTCACTGTGTGTTAAAAATCATCATACTCTTAAAAGCTATAACCACAAATAAGTAAATATTATAATACATTAAAACTGTTCTTATGAATATACGTAAGATGATATAACATATTATAAGTTTTTTTTATAATGCATTATGCATTCATTATAATGCCTTAAGAATACCCTTATAATGTATTATAAATATGGACTTCATAGAAAGTGTTACCAAATTTATTTATTAACTATTATGTATTTTATTTTTCTAAAAGGCTTCCATCATGTTCAAATTACACCTGCATATTGTGGGGTTTTGCCCAAGTTTCCAAGTAACGTTCTATTGCACTTTGCCAAATGTAAATTTAGATTTTCCAAGTTGAATGGAAAGCAGGAAAAGTGCTCATATTGGTGATATAATATTAGTTTGAATTTATTTGATCAAAAATACAATAAAAACAGTAATATGGTGAAATTTTATTATAATTTAAAATAAGTGTTTTCTATTTGAATATATTTTAAAATATAATTTATTCCTGTGATGCAAAGCTGAATTTTCAGGATCATTGGTCTTCAGTGTCACATGATCCTTCAGAAATCTATTATGAAATCAGAATTCTAATATGATGATATAGTGCCCAAGAAACTGGGGTATTTTTTGAGTAAATGACTTTGGGTAATGTCACTTTTGATCAATTTAATGCATCCTCAATGAATAAAGGTATTGATTTCTTTCAAAAAAACTGACCCCAAACTTAGTACGGTAATGCACATGTGTTTTTTATTTATTTAGATATACAGTATGTTTTATGGATATGGATGTACAGTAAATACGTGTGTGTGTGTGTGTTTTGTCTGCAGTACCTTCATCATCGAAAAGCAGCCTCCTCAGGTGCTGAAAACACAAACTAAATTTGCGGCAACAGTGCGTTTGCTGGTAGGTGGCAAACTGAACGTGCACATGAACCCACCGCAGGTCAAAGCCACCATCATCAGCGAACAACAGGCCAAGGCCCTGCTCAAGAATGAAAACACCAGAAAGTGAGCAGAAACACAACACATTGTATTTAGTAACTCCTCTGGGTGTTGTTGATGACTCACTGTGAACTGGCCTAATGAAAGTGAAAGTGACGTGACATGTGGCCAAGTATGGTGACCCATACTTGGAATTAGTGCTCTGCATTTAACCCATCCAAAGTGCACACACACAGCAGTGAACACACACACACCGTGAACACACACCCGGAGCGTGTGCGCCACTAATAACCTAATGCGCCCGGAGCTGCTAAAACAAAGCATGTTTCACCAGAAGCCCCCTGATACATCATCCTACTGTACATTTACTAACGCACAATTTTTATGCACAAACCCAATTTTGACCTGAATTTGTCATTTAATGAACCTAGATCTTGGTTAAAATGTCATTTATTCTCCATTTTTTTGTACGACTATATGCAGAATAATATTTTCTGTATTTGTATGTATGTGTCTGTCTAACAGTGACAGCAGTGGTGAGATCTTGAATAACAACTGTGTGATGGAGTACCACCAGACCACAGGCACTCTCAGTGCACACTTTAGAAACATGGTGAGTGCAGTGTGGCCGTCTAAAGTCTGACTTTAGAGAAAACTCCTATAAGATGAGTGTGTGAACTTGACTGAAGGGGTTTCTAAGTACACTGTCAGCCACCATTTAAGTTCATTCATAATTTACTCTGTACCTGCTTAGAGAACAGAGCTCTATTCTCGAGTATGCATTAACAATGAATTCAGTTAAGCAACACATGACCCTGTAAAGCCTGTCATATAAATCAGTACTCATAAAAATAGAACAGCTTATTGAACCTTTAGATAGATATGATATAATAGGCTGTACAGAGTATCAATTTATGAACAAAATATCAAACCAAGTAGTATCTGAGCACTAATGTTTCTTTTAAGAAAATCATTACATTTCTGTGCATTTATCAACCAGAAAGTCTCCAAATAATCCTGCCTTAATTTGTGCAGTATATTATATTTTATAATTAAAATTAAGTCCAAATTAAAAATGACTTGTGAAATATTTCACTTCAAAAGTGCTTATGCTTTTTTTTTAAACTTTATTTATAATGAACACTTGGTTAGATAATTTATCTAATTTTACAGTCCTATTTTTTTTATGCAGTGAATGACATTTGTAAATGTTGCTTGAGTACTTTTTTGGGGGTGTTTTATGTGATAGTGACTAGTGATAAATAAATGTAACTGCTTATAAAGTACATATATATTTTTCTCTATTCTTTCTCATGTGTCCTGTAGTCTCTGAAGCGGATCAGGCGTTCAGACCGTCGAGGGGCGGAGTCTGTTACAGAGGAGAAGTTTACCATTTTGTTTGAATCACAGTTCAGTGTTGGGGGAAATGAGCTGGTATTTCAGGTTAAGGTGAGCAAATCACCATTAGTAAATGTTATCTGTCAGGAACCACTTAAAGCAATGCAGCAAAATTATAACAGTTCAATTTCAACGATCCATGCATTAATGACTGTGTACAATTAGGACCAGTGTTACATTTCAGTTCATTCAGTCAAAATTGATTTTGCAGTAAAAAGCAAACAATTATGGTTTTTATATTAGTGCTGTACATTACTGTTCAGTGTTTGGTGTAGTACAATTTAAAATAACTCGTATATTTTAAAATGCCATTTATTTCTGTGATTCTAAAGCTGAATTTTCAGCATCATTACTCCATTCTTCAGTGTCACATGTGGGATAATGCATTTGCTGAACCGGTGAGTTACTGAAACATCAGTGCATCTTTTGGGTGGAAGGTGTAGAGGTTAAAGTTCAGGCCATCATTACTGTGCCCTTGAGCAAAAGTACTTAATACCAGGTCAGTTGTGCCTGCAATAAGATCATGAGGCCATTGTATAGCGATATCACATGAAAGTCATGGAAACAATTTCCAAGGTCATGTGGCAATAAATAAAGGTCCTATAACTTAACTATGTTAAACATCACAAAGTCCGGCCCTGCCTTGACAACACGCAAGACTCATTCTCCCAACCATACATAATGTAATTTCTCTCCCACTCACCAGGATCTCAAACTCCCCTCAACAAACCTGTCAAGTTTCATAGCGTGGGTGTTGATTGGATGGCTGGTGGCATATGACTCATATCCCTTTACTCTACATACTCTACCCTTATTCTCTTTAAAGGAACAGTGCATCCATAAATTTAAATCCTGTCATTACTCACCCTCACGTCATTTCAAACCAGTACTTTTTTCTACCCTGGAACACAAATGGAGAAGTGAGAGAATAACAATAAAAGCATTATAAAAGTAGTCCATAGAAGTCCATACAGGATTTGCAGGGTTTGTGTAAAATATCAGATCATCATGAGTTAGCAATATGGTTTTCATCAAGGCAGCAGTATACAGAATATGTTAGATATTTATGCAAATCAAGCAGGATGTGACGAGTGAAGGAGTTGATGTAATATATCCCTCTACGCTGTTGCTTTCCTAAAAAGACAACCTTAAAACCAAAGTGATTGTGACCCACTGAGAACCTGCCTAATGAGACACTTTCTAAGTGTAAAAGGTTAAAAAAGAATGTATGATAATATACTAATTTTCTTGATCTCTCTCAGGGACGGGTGCCTTTTATTGTGCCCGACAAGGTGTTGTGGCCGCAGTTGTGTGAGGCTCTGAATATGAAGTACAAGGCAGAGGTGCAATCAAATCGAGGTCTGAATGAGGAGAATCTCGTCTTTCTCGCTCAGAAAGCCTTCAGCAGTTCCAGCGTCAACCCAGAGGACTACCGCAACATGACCATGACCTGGTCGCAGTTTAACAGGGTAAATACACTACTCACACTCAACCACTGTACTGAACTAAATGACTGTGTTTAGCAGGTCAAAACTCCTCTGTACAATCTATTTGCTATTTGACCCCCATAAACCAACAGTCAATTAGTTTTTAGGATGTTTTGTCCACTTATTTTAGTGTTTTCTTTGACTAGATAGTCCTTTATACACAAACACACACTACTGTTCAAAAGTTTTGGGTGAGATTTTTGTTTATGAAAGAAGTCTCACCAAGGCTGCATTTATTTGATCAAAAATACAGTAAGACAGTAATATTGTGAAGTAGTTTTACATTTTAAAATAGCTGTTTTCTATTTTAATATGTTTTAAAATATAATTTATTCCTGTGATGGCAGTAAAGCTGAATTTTCAGCATCTAATATGCTGATTTGCTGCTGAAGAAACATTTCTTATTATTATCAATATTGAAAACATTTGTTCTGCTTATTATTGTGTGCGTTCTTCAGTTTGGAACAACATGAGGGTGAGTAATTAATGGTTTTGTTGTTGGGTGAACTATCCCTTTAATGTGTCCTTCAAAATATCTTGAAAGACATAGTTTTCAATGTTGAAACATAAATAGGCAAAGTAACTGCCAATACTGGATTTGAAATGTAAGTTACGGTTTTAAAATAAAATATCAGTCATAATGACACATTCCATGCTGTCGCAAATGCATTCAGTTGCACTCGGTATTGAATATAATTAGTTTTGTACTTCAGTATTACTCATAAAATCGTGGTTTTAACAGCTGTACATGAGCTTTGATTAAGCTGAAACCAGTATGGCCTATTATTTTGTAAAAATTCTGACCGTGACTGTGACCTGCTGTTTGTTACCCAAAAGCACCACCGTTATCGAGCGACGTTCTAACAGATGGTTTAATCCCAAACTAGTGTCTCCTCGTTCTGACTTTGTTTTCTTTATTTTAAGTGGCAATCCATCAACCTGGGGCAGAATGTTAGCTGATCTGATCAACATTGCTTCTCGTCCATTGCAATAGTTAATGGTTATTCAGGAAGTGAGGTTTGATCTGAGAGCTTTTGATGTGCAGGCAGGCAGGCCTAAGGCTGTGGCTGCCTTTGAAACGGCCTTTTGCTGATCTGCTACATTGAGCGGGCAGTGTTCCCAACGAAGGCCTTTGGAATTCAGGCATCGTTTGTGTTTATGGCTTTGTTTATTTAGTCACTGATACAATACTCACATATGCACACAATTGCACAAATACAAAGTTATCTTGAAAACATGCTAATGATTTGATGCTTTCATACAGTGGGGTGCAAAAGTCCGTGAACACATGTGGAAATGCATGTGGAAATTTGCATTAAACACAAGATGAATTGATTACAATTTATGATCAGCTTTGATATGATTAAATAATTATACTTTTATAGGAACAATTTGAGTCAAAAGTTAAATAGAAAAGTATATATGAATTATACAGTATATGAACTTGCTGATTCTCAAAATAAAAAAATTTAATCGATTTTGTTTCATAATTGATGAACTTTGCAACACTGACACTGTTATTGAAATAAATCAAATAAATAAATACAGAACTAAATAGCTGAATTTAGTTCAGTGAATTGAAATTATAACTGCTTTACAACTGAAATCATTTTTTTTTTCAAAACTGATTAGTTTTGCAGCATTAAGACTCTTAGTTTCCTGCTTTTCTCTGTATTGTATACAATACTATGTAAATAAATGTGACTTGACTATTTATTTCCATGTCTAAATTAAATTCTAAATTCCGAATTTGAACCCGATTGTACATGTTCAAGAGACATCCGTGTGTTTGTGATCTGCCATGCTAACTGTTGAAACGGTCAGGACATAGGATATTGTGTTCTAAGAAATAGAGTGATTAAAGTGAAAGAGATGAAGATGAATGCTTCCTGTCTTCACTCCTAAGTAATGTGACTTTGCTTGTGAATCACTGATTAAAAACAGAATGAACATGAGGCAGTGGATCATGCTCTCGTTCAGGCAGTCATGCCTGTGTTTCTTAAGCCCCGAATGTTCCCTTTACCCCCACACGCGTCTAGCTGTTTACTGTCTGATTCATGTCAACTCCATGTCCATTTCCAATGAATGCATCACTTGCGAGGAACACGTACCAGGAATTCAGCAAATTGTTTTTTTCATACTTTCATGCTTTATTTTCCATAACTGTTAAAACGTCTGTGAGGAAACAAACTTTAAACATGCTTTGATGATGTTTGACTAAGACGTGCTACTAAGGCTTATTTAACACTTTCTTTACACACACTGTATAAAAAGTTAATCTATTTAGGTAAATATTGTAAGTGAACTTAAGGGGATGAAGAAATGGACAATTCTCTGATTATTTACTCACCCTCATGTTGTTCCAAACTTGTGTTTCACTTTTCTGTGCAACATGAAGATATGAGAAGAATATTGCTAACCAAACTGTTATGGTGACCACTGACTTTCTTTATATGGAGAAAAAAAAACATTTCTCAAAGTATCTTAATATATTATTATTATTATATAATAATATATATAAAGTATAAATGATGACTATTATAAACTATCCCATAAAAATGTTGCATTATCATATTATACATCCCTAATCTAAACTTAACAACTACCTTAGTAACTATTAATAAGCAGCAAATTAGATGGAAATGCATGTGGAAATTTGCATTAAACACAAGATGAATTGATTACAATTTATGATCAGCTTTGATATGATTAAATTATTATACTTTTATAGGAACAATTTGAGTCAAAAGTTAAATAGAAAAGTATATATGAATTATACAGTATATGAACTTGCTGATTCTCAAAATAAATTTTTTTTATCGATTTTGTTTCATAATTGATGAACTTTGCAACACTGACACTGTTATTGAAATAAATCAAATAAATAAATACAGAACTAAATAGCTGAATTTAGTTCAGTGAATTGAAATTATAACTGCTTTACAACTGAAATCATTTTTTTTTTCAAAACTGATTAGTTTTGCAGCATTAAGACTCTTAACACACACTACTGTTCAAAAGTTTTGGGTGAGATTTTTGTTTATGAAAGAAGTCTCACCAAGGCTGCATTTATTTGATCAAAAATACAGTAAGACAGTAATATTGTGAAGTAGTTTTACATTTTAAAATAGCTGTTTTCTATTTTAATATGTTTTAAAATATAATTTATTCCTGTGATGGCAGTAAAGCTGAATTTTCAGCATCTAATATGCTGATTTGCTGCTGAAGAAACATTTCTTATTATTATCAATATTGAAAACATTTGTTCTGCTTATTATTGTGTGCGTTCTTCAGTTTGGAACAACATGAGGGTGAGTAATTAATGGTTTTGTTGTTGGGTGAACTATCCCTTTAATGTGTCCTTCAAAATATCTTGAAAGACATAGTTTTCAATGTTGAAACATAAATAGGCAAAGTAACTGCCAATACTGGATTTGAAATGTAAGTTACGGTTTTAAAATAAAATATCAGTCATAATGACACATTCCATGCTGTCGCAAATGCATTCAGTTGCACTCGGTATTGAATATAATTAGTTTTGTACTTCAGTATTACTCATAAAATCGTGGTTTTAACAGCTGTACATGAGCTTTGATTAAGCTGAAACCAGTATGGCCTATTATTTTGTAAAAATTCTGACCGTGACTGTGACCTGCTGTTTGTTACCCAAAAGCACCACCGTTATCGAGCGACGTTCTAACAGATGGTTTAATCCCAAACTAGTGTCTCCTCGTTCTGACTTTGTTTTCTTTATTTTAAGTGGCAATCCATCAACCTGGGGCAGAATGTTAGCTGATCTGATCAACATTGCTTCTCGTCCATTGCAATAGTTAATGGTTATTCAGGAAGTGAGGTTTGATCTGAGAGCTTTTGATGTGCAGGCAGGCAGGCCTAAGGCTGTGGCTGCCTTTGAAACGGCCTTTTGCTGATCTGCTACATTGAGCGGGCAGTGTTCCCAACGAAGGCCTTTGGAATTCAGGCATCGTTTGTGTTTATGGCTTTGTTTATTTAGTCACTGATACAATACTCACATATGCACACAATTGCACAAATACAAAGTTATCTTGAAAACATGCTAATGATTTGATGCTTTCATACAGTGGGGTGCAAAAGTCCGTGAACACATGTGGAAATGCATGTGGAAATTTGCATTAAACACAAGATGAATTGATTACAATTTATGATCAGCTTTGATATGATTAAATTATTATACTTTTATAGGAACAATTTGAGTCAAAAGTTAAATAGAAAAGTATATATGAATTATACAGTATATGAACTTGCTGATTCTCAAAATAAAAAAATTTAATCGATTTTGTTTCATAATTGATGAACTTTGCAACACTGACACTGTTATTGAAATAAATCAAATAAATAAATACAGAACTAAATAGCTGAATTTAGTTCAGTGAATTGAAATTATAACTGCTTTACAACTGAAATCATTTTTTTTTTCAAAACTGATTAGTTTTGCAGCATTAAGACTCTTAGTTTCCTGCTTTTCTCTGTATTGTATACAATACTATGTAAATAAATGTGACTTGACTATTTATTTCCATGTCTAAATTAAATTCTAAATTCCGAATTTGAACCCGATTGTACATGTTCAAGAGACATCCGTGTGTTTGTGATCTGCCATGCTAACTGTTGAAACGGTCAGGACATAGGATATTGTGTTCTAAGAAATAGAGTGATTAAAGTGAAAGAGATGAAGATGAATGCTTCCTGTCTTCACTCCTAAGTAATGTGACTTTGCTTGTGAATCACTGATTAAAAACAGAATGAACATGAGGCAGTGGATCATGCTCTCGTTCAGGCAGTCATGCCTGTGTTTCTTAAGCCCCGAATGTTCCCTTTACCCCCACACGCGTCTAGCTGTTTACTGTCTGATTCATGTCAACTCCATGTCCATTTCCAATGAATGCATCACTTGCGAGGAACACGTACCAGGAATTCAGCAAATTGTTTTTTTCATACTTTCATGCTTTATTTTCCATAACTGTTAAAACGTCTGTGAGGAAACAAACTTTAAACATGCTTTGATGATGTTTGACTAAGACGTGCTACTAAGGCTTATTTAACACTTTCTTTACACACACTGTATAAAAAGTTAATCTATTTAGGTAAATATTGTAAGTGAACTTAAGGGGATGAAGAAATGGACAATTCTCTGATTATTTACTCACCCTCATGTTGTTCCAAACTTGTGTTTCACTTTTCTGTGCAACATGAAGATATGAGAAGAATATTGCTAACCAAACTGTTATGGTGACCACTGACTTTCTTTATATGGAGAAAAAAAAACATTTCTCAAAGTATCTTAATATATTATTATTATTATATAATAATATATATAAAGTATAAATGATGACTATTATAAACTATCCCATAAAAATGTTGCATTATCATATTATACATCCCTAATCTAAACTTAACAACTACCTTAGTAACTATTAATAAGCAGCAAATTAGATGTTTATTGAGGTAAAAGTCATAGTTAATGGTTTGTTAATAGCGAGAATTGGACCTTAAAATAAAGTGTGACTGTATCAGCTCTATACAAAGTGTTCCCTTTTTATATCACATTTCTCAAGTTACTAAATATGACAACAAAATCAGCAATAGCAATGTTGTAGTTAACAGGTTAGCTCTTGAATGTCAGAGATGTGAAGACCTGTACTGAGAGGTCAGAAAAACACACAGAGACAGTGTGTGTGTGTGTGTGTACTTACTCTGGCACTACTTGTTTGATCTGTGGTTTGACGTATCCGTCCACAGCTTTAGCTGGAGAGGAGGGATAAAGTTGTAAATGTAAATTAAGCCATATAATTTTTTTATGCCCTTGTCAGTGCCTACTGGGAAAAGGTCTAAATGAACTGAACCACATAAAAAAAATAACTTTATTTAAAAATAAAAGTTTTTATTAGTATTTTGTAATAGAAAAGCTGCATTGAGATGGTTCAGTTTTGTTTCTATTGTACTGTATGTTTTTAGAACTTACAGAATACAAATTTAGGTAAATCTTTGGTTGTTGTTGTTTTTTTTTCCAGCATCATTTATTTAGCATCATTATATTTACTGTGCATGTTAGTCTTTTAAACCTGATTTGTTTGTTGTCATTGTAGGAGAGTTTACCAGGCAGGAACTTCACTTTTTGGCAGTGGTTTGATGGTGTGATGGAGCTTACTAAAAAACACCTGAAGCCTCACTGGAATGATGGGTAAGACCTGACCTCAGTGAGAACACAAACAAATGGAAACATCACACTCCTACAGATTTAATGTTAAAGATAAAAATTCATCCATGTGTAAAAGCTAAAAAAAAATCACTTTGTTGCTGCTCAGTCATTGAACGAACAGAAAGAAATAGAGTAAGAGACGTTGCTCCTGTCTGCCCTCACATAACAATGACATCTCTCACTTTCAGCTGAGAGCGCTGCCGTTTATGCCGCATGACCCAGCAGGGGGAATCTCACAAAGAAATGACAGTGACGTTTGTTCGTATGTGACTTTAAATGGAAAATGCACTTAATTAACAGACAAGAAAAATGTAACATTTATTTATTTCTGAAAAGAAATTGGGTCAAAAATCATGGACACTTCTGATAGTTTTGGTCAATTTCACCTGGCCACTCTGCTGGAAAATGTTAGACATAATGAATTGCATTCTTAAATCTGGTTGAGTGGTATAAAATGGGTATCTTCATTATGAAGTGTTCCTTTGCCATGGCAACTGGCTGATTGAGAGATAGTGCTGGTTAAGACTATACATTAAGGCATTAAACCATGGATGGATTAACACAGGAGTAAGATCAGAGAGACCTCTTGCGGCTTTGATAAGATCTAGCTCTCTTTAGTTTTTTTGCTTATCTTTTTCTCATTCAACCCCCAGTTTATCAATATCTTGTAATCCTTTGTATACAAATCATGATGAAACTGAACAGTACACAGAAGATAACAGTTTCTCTGTTTTTGTGAGTGTAAACATCCTTTAATGAATTCATGTTTGTGTTCGTGTGCTTGTATGTTTCAGGGCGATTCTTGGCTTTGTGAATAAACAGCAAGCTCAGGACATGCTGATGTCCAAACCCAACGGAACCTTCCTGTTGCGCTTCAGTGACTCGGAAATTGGCGGCATCACTATAGCCTGGGTAGCAGAGAACCCTAACAAAGCAGGTAGAACCATTGCTTGGCTCCTTCACTGCCATTCCTTAACACAAACCTGAGGTAGTTGAACTATATAATGTTAATGTATAATAGGGACATTTTATACATGGTATTTCAAAACAAATCATTTACAGTGGCTTTAAAGGGGTCATATGATGTTGCTAAAAAGAACATTATTTTGTGTATTTGGTGTAATGAAATGTGTTTATGTGGTTTAAAGTTAAAAAAACACATTATTTTCCACATACTGTACATTATTGTTTCTCCTCTATGCCCCGCCTTTCTGAAATACGTCGATTTTTACAAAGCTCATCGGTCTGAAAAGCGAGGTGTGCTCTGATTGGCCAGCTGTCGAGTGCCGTCGTGTCCTCTTTTGGAAGACCAAACAAAGTATTTTCGCTTTCACAACGAAACACACAGCGCCTTCACAACATGTCGGTGGCGGCAACTATACTACAACGAGAATAAAAGTCACGCCTTCTTTCTTTGTGTGAACATTTGGGCGGCATTATGCAAATCTTCCCACATCGTGACGTAGACATGTGGGGGCGTGTTTAAACGAGCCGTTTTAGGTAGGCGTGGCTGACTCTGAACTTTTATAAAGAATATCTCTTTGGATTTGAGACTTTAGTCTTTGCAACTTTACAGATCTTCTTTATGCACCAAGTAACACTTCAAAGAGAAAGGAAAAATTGAAATCGCATCATATGACCCCTTTAAATGCTCTTAAAACTAGTTGAAAACTTCTGTGTGTATTTGTTTTCTTCATAGGAGAAAGGATGGTGTGGAACCTCATGCCATACACAACCAAAGACTTCTCTATCCGCTCCTTGGCGGATCGCATCAGCGACCTGAATCATCTCCTGTTCCTCTATCCTGACCGGCCCAAAGACGAGGTCTTCTCCAAATACTACACCCCTCCGCTGTGTAAGCTTGATCTCTAATTATCTACATATTATTCATCTTTTTTGACATTATATACACACACACACAAACTATCATTCAAAGGTTTTGGGGTCAGTATTTTTATTTATTTTTTTTGTGACAGTAAAGATAATTGTAATGTTATGAAAGATTTTTGTTTCAAGTATGTTAAAAATGTCTAAAAGCATATTTTATTCATCAAAGAACCATGAAAATCACAGTTTCCACAAAAATATTAAGCAGCACAGCTGTTTTCAAAATGAATAAAAAGGTGATATTTTGAGTACACATATCAGAATGATTTCTGAAGGATCATGTGACACTGAAGACTGGGGTAATGATGCTGAAAATTCAGCTTTGCATCACAGGAATTAATTACATTTTATAATATATTAAAACAGAAAACAGTTATTTTAAATTGTAAAAATATCATAAAATATTGCTGTTTTTACTGTATTTTTGATCAAATAAATGCAGTCTTGGTGAGCATTGACATATTTCAAAAACTGAAAATTTTTTTGCAAGCCCAAACTTTTGAATGGTAGTGTATGTATTTATTTATTAAAATATTAAAATATTTATAAAAAATGATTTATATGCACAAATATTACATTAAAGGAGTTTTGAAATCTAAGAGAATTAAGAGAGTTAAAAGTTTCGAAATGATTTACTTAAAAGAACAATATGAACCGATTCATGAAAATGAATTAAACTTACTGTCTACTTTGAAATCAGGGACACTGTAAAACATCTTGTTTTTGCACCTGTATACTCACAAGGAAGGAATGTGAAAGTAGTATAACGACACCATCCTTAGGAAAATAATTGTCGTATTAAAAGCACATTAAAATCATCACAGTATGCACAATGTTGCTTATTTTTTTATAGCGTGTAAAAATCATTATATGTACATTGCTAGCCTGTGTGTGTTTATGTCCTTGTGTTTAAATGAGAGTGTAACACTCTGGCTAATCTAGCATGTTTGTGTTTGTCTGTGTGTGTTCTCATTCACACACAGTGTGAGCCAGTGTTATGTTATGGTTTAGGAATAATCTGTTTATCTTTCCCTCCTCTCCAGCTAAAGCTGTGGACGGATACGTCAAACCACAGATCAAACAAGTAGTGCCAGAGTAAGTACACACACACACACACACACACACACTTCTGTCTCTTGTGTGTTTTTTTCTGACCTCTCAGTACAGGTCTTCACATCTCTGACATTCAAAAGCTAACTTGTTAACTCCAAGCGGTAAACCTAATTGCACACTAGCATATTAGCGCTGGCCTGGCTCTGTGGGCAGTTAATGGTTGCCATGGATACTTGAGACTCTCGTTCCACTCCTCAGCATATACTTAGCTTTGTTACCCTCATTAGCAGCATTATTTATCCATAGGTGGACGACCCCATTGGTCTTGTTAGTGAGCCTTCCACTTCGGTCAAACTCAGCAGGGAGTCGTACACCATCAGACTCAGATAATTCTGTTCTTCTCATCAGCGTTCTGAGGGAGCGATTATCAATTTAGCTCTTCATTTTGAGGGTTAGCAAGAGCTCTGACCGCTAGCACCTGCTAGAGTGTGTAGAGTAGTAACAAGCTGTGAACTAGAGCTGAACAGAATGAATGAGCTTTTGTTAGTTATTTTTGAAGCTTTCTGACATTTTATTGAGGGAGAGAGAATAGAAGAATGACAGGAACTGTTACGGGAAGCTGTATCAATTAATATATATCAGACTGGATTCAAACTCATTACTCAATATTAGATGAAAAATGTATACTTAAAACCTTATAAATGTAAAAAAAAAAAAAAGAATGAAATAAAATGTTGAAGTCGAAAGACTAAAATTACTCAAATTAAATTTAACAAATAAAATAAATAATAATTAAAACTAAATATTAAAAAAAAACTAATCAAAATGACAAAAGTATAATATAAAAATGAAAAATATAAAAATAAAAGCTATTTAAAAATAAGATTAAATATTGTAACAGAATATAAATAATACTAAAATAACACTGATGATGTTAAATTTAAACTATTTATGTGTGCGTCTGTGTTCATGCAGGTTTACAACACCTAACCCCGACCCTGCAGCAAACCCCACCTACATGGACCATGCAGCATCTCCAGCTGTCAGTCAACCACATGCTTATGGACTCTATCCTCCCATGTGAGTGTTTCTGTCTGCCTGTATGTTTCTGCATCAGGGTTGTTATTAACTAAAACCAAAACTAATCAAAATAATTTTCGTTAATTGAAATAAAATGAAATAGAAATATTAGAAAATTAGAAATGCTGCTTTGGCAAATAACACAAATAAAATAAGTTGAAGTAGTAATATTTCAAAAATTTAAATGTAAAAAAAAAAATTAAAGCTACATATAAAAATGACAAAAAGCACAACATTTTTATTAAGTAATTTGAATATGATTCCCAGTATATGTGTCACGCTACGGTGGAATGAAACGCACGAGGAAGATGATGAGCAATGCAAACAGTCTTTAATAAATCCACACGAGGGTAAATCCAGGACAGAACAGGCAGGAGCACACGTAGGGACGTAGTAGACCGGACAGGTGGTGGTGAAGCCCGAGGCGGAGACGGAGAGCCGAAGATCCAGGGTGACGGGGAGGATCCGGAGGGCCAAGGCGGAGCAGATGGCTCCGGCGACCGAGGCGGAGGCAGGGATCTGGAAGGCTGCGGTGGAGCCGGAGCCGGAGCGACAGAGGACCGAGGTGGAGCCGGAGGGAAGGAGGAGCCTGACGGAGCAGGAGGGACGGACGGACGAGGTGTAGCCGTAGGAGTGGAGTCCCGAGGTGGCGGATGGTCGACGACAGACCAAGGCTGAGCTGGAGGGAGCTAGGAGCCATGGTGGAGCCGCTGGGTCGAAGGGCCGAGGTGGAGTCTGGGACTCAGAGGCTGGAGGCGGAGACAAAGGATCCTCCAGCCACGACGCCGATGGAGACTGGCAGACCCGCGGCGATCCCACCGCACGGATGGTGTGTGCTGCCCACACACACCATAAGGCCACTTCCAGCACCGTGAGCCCCAGCGGTAGGGGAACGACCACCGTGGTCATTATAGTACAGGCAGATAGTTCAAGGCAGACAAATATTTCCAGACTGACAGACAGTTCAAATACGAACTCCAGGTTGATTCAGGACAGACAGAAGATTCAATCACAACCTCCGTGGTCGTGACGGGACAGACAGATGGTGATGGCGGGAGAAGACAAGGCATATCCTCTGAGCGCAACCTCAGCTCACCCCTAGCGGTGGGCGGGGCAATCCTCCGTGCCCTCGCTCCCTACTGACACTCCCACCGTTGCGTGTCTAACAGTCGGCACGCACACCTGGACTGACGTCGATTGAGGCTATGGCTCTGAGGCGATCCTCAGCTCTGTCGCTCTCCTCGGCTCGTCGGTCGCAGCAGGCTCTGGCTCTCCATCAGCGGTGGGCTCATACTGTAGCTCCGCGAAGCAGGGTGGTGGTAGGCTGGGCTCTGGGTCGACCATAATAACACAAAAGAAAAACTTTACAAACAAAAACAAAACGCAGGGAAACACGCCACGTTACTTTCACTTCTAGGTCCGGTCTTCTTTCACACTACAGTAGAATGAAAAGCACAAGGAAGATGATAAGCAATGCAAACTGTCTTTAATAAATCCACACAAGGGTAAATCCAGGACAGAACAGGCAGGAGCACACGTAGGGATGTAGTAGACCGGACAAACACAGACTGCACAGACTAGGACTTAAATACATGGGATGACGAGGACAATTAATAAGACACACCTGAACCAAATGACACAATCAAACATGAGGGAAAACTAGGTCACGGAGCACATGAGGGATGAAAACACAACAAAAACAGTCCAGGGGTGTGACAATATGTTTATCACTTTTTTACCATGCTTAAAGGGATAGTTCACCCAAAAATCAATCTGTCAATAATTACTCATCCTCATGACGTTCTAAACGCGTAAGACCTTATTTAGATATTAAATTAAGATTATTAAATCTGAGAGCTTTCTGACCCTGCATAGACAGCAATGCAACTGACATGTTCAAGGCCCAGAAAGGTAGTAAGGGCATTGTTAAAATAGTCCATGTGACATCAGTGGTTCAACTGTAATTTTACAAAGCAGGTATTTCTTTGCTCACAAAAAGTATTCTCGTAGCTTCGTAAATTACGGTTGAACCCCTGATGTCACATGGACTATTTTAACAATATCCTTACTACCTTTCTGGGCCTTGAACATGTCAGTTGCATTGCTGTCTATGGAGAGTCAGAGAGTTCTCGTATTTCATTCAAAATATCTTAATTTGTGTTCTGAAGATGAATGAAGGTCTTACAACGACATGAGTGTGAGTAATTAATGACAGAATTTTCATTTTTAAGTACACTATCCCTTTAAATCAATTCTGCAGTTTTCTCCTTCAAATAAGCATAGAAAATATATGTTGATTTCACTGTATATATAATAACAGCTTTTATAGTAAATAACCTTCTAAAATGTGCTGTATATACTATGGAATTGATGTAATTGGATATGAATTATCAAGATTATTGTTTTCAAACTACTCAATGTAACTCGATCTCTCTCTCAGTGGAGACCCTATGTTGGACGCTGATGGCGATTTCGATCTGGACGACACAATGGATGTAGCGAGGCATGTAGAGGAACTGCTCCGTCGACCAATGGAGGGCCAGTGGAGCGGCCATCAGTCATGACCTCTTGACCTGTGACTTCTCTCCCTAAACAATGTTTTTTTTTTTTAAATACATTTTTCTCCTTCTACTCTTAGTGTATTTTCCCCATTTGTTTCTCAGTGTGGGTCTTCTCGACTTCTTTTTCTCTATCATCACACCTCTTTCTCTTTCCCCCATCCCTTGTTTCTGTAGAAGAGAAAGGAGCTAATGGAAGAAGAAAAACATACTATGAGCCTTCCTCTAATTAAATACCACCAAACAGTATTGTAGAATAAAAGAGAGAGAGATGCATGTTATCTATTTTCATTTGTGCATGAGGTGTTTTTTTTTTTTTTTTTTTTTATGACTTTTCGCAGAACGAATCTGTGAAACCCTTAAGCCGAGATGTACTACTGTAAGGAACATTTTTATGTTTTTCAAACTGTTTTATGGTTGTCATTTTATTTCCAGGGTGTTCAGATATCTACTGCATCTGAAGTAAATGCATATTATCCTTTGCACTCTTAAACGAATGCTTTCTTGCAGACTATGACATTATTGTTACTATATGGTGATTGCAATGTAACGCTTCTGTACACTAAAGAGTGTTTAGGTTGCAAGGCTGTTAACATTCGGTGCTTCTACATCTACGTCTGTGTTTAATCTGAACCTTGAACACAAGTTACATCCGCATCCAAACCAGCAGCACACGACCTGTCACTCACATCACCGAGACTGAGGCACACATGAGAAACACACATGCGCCCGCTCGCATCCGTCCCGCGTAAAGCGATGGAAACACATGGGGTAGAGAGAGGTCCGCTGAGCGTCTGGGCTCACGCTACACTACACAGGCCGTCTCTCGCTCTCTTCTGTCTCTCTCCAGTGCAACAGGTGATGACCTCATCTGTTCTCACGCTTTCCTCTCGGAACAAAACAAGAGAACCCGTCGTCATGGTTACACATGCTGCCCCTCGTATTCCCTTAACTGGCCATTCTATAGGTTCGCATTTCTGCATGTTACCGACCTGCATCTTTGTTTGTCTCGTACTCTGCATACTCTGCCTTGGCCACTCAGGACATTGACGTACAGTTGATGTAAAATACAAATAATAGTAATAATAAAATATAAATCAAAATGACACAATTAAAAGAAAGTACCTATATCCAATATATATGAAATGTTATTTTTTGTTAACATATTTCTATTTTATTACTGTAGGGCGCTAGATGGCTCCAGCCCTCTGTGTAGTGCAAAATGGCATTTTACGGTGTCTGATTGTTGGTAGAAGCCCTGATGTTGTGATCTGAAATCAGTACTCAAACGGCACAAAGGGTTCGGTCGCTGCCACCTCTGTAGTTTCACTTCAGATCTCAGCTGAGCTTTCGCATGGAAGAAAAAGCCAAACAGTGAAGTTAGCACGACGAGACGTTTCCTGTGTGCTTACTGTATGCGTAACCTGCAAACCTGACTAATGATGCCCATTTTTAGATGCCTGTATTCATTTTTAAAGGATGGTTTGTTCCTCGCAGTGGATGTTGATTTATTTTAATCTCTCTATTTTTCTGTCGTGGCAGAGACACAGGAAGTTGTGTGATTTTTCTTCATCTTTTTTTATTGTCTTTGTTTTCAAACTGATCTATCATGTTGTTATTTAGACTGTTTCTCACTGTAGGTGTCAAGGTGTGTGTGTGTGTGTGTGTGTGTGTGTGTGTGTGTGTGTGTGTGCGCGCGTGTGTGTGTGTGTGTG